ACTTTATCCAATCATCATTGAATTATTAGTTTTTAAGAAAAAACACTGAATCATCCAGGGCGGGCGACAAAAAAAAATATTGTAGTATCAAAAAATCAAATTTTTTGAGGTAGCACTTCAGAATTTTTATTTCTATAAATCTATAGAATTAAAGAAAAATTTTCATAAATTTAAATAGCGATAGACAGTTATTGAGGGATCCGCATTACTTCATGACAATTATTTCACTGACAGCTTATTTAACCAACATCGCGCCAAGTATGTATCTGCAAAAATGATAACCTACCTTGTGATGAAATGATTGTCATTGAAGTGAACGACAACGATATGATTTTTTTCTTCGTCTAAATGTAACTGATATGGTTTAAAATAATATTTAATAGAGACATGACTACTAAGTTTAATAGTAAATCACATTGAACTTTAATAATTTTTTCATTAGTTCGTTGCTTCTTTTTGCTATGGGTTTCTATTTGGAGATGTTCTATTGGATATAGTGGGCCTTTTCAAAGTGAATCTACTAGTAGATTCACTTTGAAAAAGCCCAAATTTTAATTCTTAATCGCTAAAAATTTGTAATTATTAATAAAAAAGTCTCATCACTAAATATAATATATTCAAAATTACAGTAAAATAAAGTATGTATTATAATATACTGTATCTGGGATAAAAGATGGATAAATTGATAATAATAATACTTGGAATACAAAGTATAATACAAAAGTTGTAATCCTTTAAAGTTCTAAAACATTTATCTAAGTAGGAACCGAAGCTTAATAAATTTTAGAGATCGTTAAAAAAAATCTTTTTTTAAAAAAAATTAAAATTTAAAACCCCCTAGTTTTACTTATAAGCAGTGCTTAAACAACCATAGTAAATTGCCTGGCCATGTGTAAGTTTAATTAGATATACAGTACTAATTTTGATGAATCAAAAAAGACACTTTAGACAATAGCAATGGCGCAGTAAATGACCAGAAAATTACTATAGTTGTTTAAGCCCTGCTTATAAGCAAACTTTAATTTTTACTAAATAAATAATGAATAAAAATTTGTATAATATTGTATATATCTAAAACTATTATAAATTTTTTAAAAAACTCTACAGATTAAGGGATAATTTCGTATAATTTACTGTGACATTGTTAACGAATATATATTTAACAAACCCAAACATGCTGTGATTTTTTTTTTACGAAAAGAATGTCATCTGAAGATATCTGCTCGATTTGTTATGACCCTCCAACAAATATATTTCGCTTCAAAAAATGTAACCATAAATTCCATATCAAATGTATAATCAAATGGATTAAAGAACACCCAAGCTGTCCGAATTGTCGTCAATTATTACTTTCAACAGACGAACAGAATGGTAAATGTCCATAATATTATAAAGTTTTGTACAAACAAATAAAACTATTAACATTTGTAAATAAACAGGAGGAATTTTCATGAAGATTGAAGAGATCTTACTCAACATCTCACGTGTAAATCAATATAGATATGACATTTTAAACTTTTTAGCGGCAGTCAAAGGAATGAAGGCAGAAAGTTCAAATTGTATAGCATGTCAGCAAACCTTTCAAAATAATGATTTTAAATTTTGTTGTGAACATAGATTTCACAAAGATTGTATAGTTATTCGCATCCAAACTAATCCTAGCTGTCCAACCTGCCAGTTTCCGTTGATACCCTATGATCAGGTTAACGGTAATTTTTTTCATTTTTTTTTATCAATAGTTGATTTATAACAAATGATATAATAAAATGAATTTATATAATTTAACAGGACAAGAATTAGAAAAGATAGTCAATTTTTTATTAAAGCTCCTCAGAATCGAAATGATAAAACCTAACGATAATAGAATTGAATACGTTGAAGAAATGAAAATAGAATATAAAAACAAAGATATCGAAGATTTTATTACCTTTATTAAAAATTTTCGTTAAAGTATATTATTTTCTTGAATTAAATGAAGTACTATTCAATATCCATTCAATCATCTCTAAGAAAAAATAAAATATTAGAAAAATATTAAAAAATACGTAAACATATGATATATACTTTTCTGAACAGATTCCTTTGTCGTAAATATATGACAACATGGACAAGATAAATTATTTTCAATCCATTTCACTACACAATCAATACAAAATTGATCATGTTCGCAATTAGGCATCATAAACCTTTGTCGTTCACTTAAATGAATATGACAAAAAAAACACGAAGCCATCATAAAATTTTATCTATAAAAAAACTTTTTTAAAATTGACTCACTATTTGTACTATTATCGCAACTCGATTATTACTCGATTACTTTGGTCCGATTTATATCCATACTTATCATTATGTAATTGTTTATATTAATACGTAAAACAATTACTTGTCCATAATATCAAAATAAATTATTTTATCATTGTTAGATGTTATAAATTATTTATACACTATTTGAAAGGAGTCTTATATAAGGGACATAATATTTAAGTACTCTAACGATTACACTAACATTGTTAGATAATTTACTTGTACGTATTCTGATAAGCTTGTCAACGAAATGACAAAGCAATCATTATTGCGGACTTTATTGCAGATCACATGTAGATCAGTTGTAGCTTTTATAGATATTATCATAATGAAATTATGTATCTTGTTGAATGTATTCCTTAAAAAGGAAATAAATAATTGTTTTCATTAGTATGTATGTTGTAATTAGTAGTCATGGTGTATGTTTATGTGTGTGAATATCAAGCGGAAGGGTGGGTGTGCATAACTGGGCTAGGGGTATTTAATATCTGTATGCCGGGTAGATATTTGTTATTCTTCTGTTCTCTATCGCTCGCCTTGGTATAGGCTGGCTCTATCGGCATCGTACCTTACATAGGGAAATAAATAATATTTCAATCAAAATGCAAAAAAAAACAAAAGATTGAAATCAAAAAGTGTTGTAAAATATAAGGCACAACAGGATATTTCAGATTCTGACAATGAAGACAGTCAAAATATAAGGAAATTTTCAAAGAAAAAGACAATGAATTATAATAAAAAATGCGCGACTTTATCGGATCCTTTAGGTATTATTGTTTTGGCTAAATTAGTTATATAGTTTTAAAAATTTTGACTTATAAGAAGTATGTAAAAATTATAGAAAAAAATCAACCTCGCACAACGATAGTTCTATCAATGACTATTGAAAATAGAGTAGAAAGCATCAATCTTCCTGTTGTTGTTATAGAAAAGGATGAACGCTTTAGTAGACAGGTAAACACTACTATAATAACAAAATTTCACTAGTCAATATTATTTATTTTGTTATTTTTAAAAGCGGATAGATGAAACAGAGAATGCGCCAGTAATTCAATCGGATATGAATAATCAGATAAATATTCATAATTAAATTTCGACAGATTTAAAAATAAATTTCAAGGTTGTAATTAAACTTATCAAATTACAAAAGAATCATTCACACAACTCGAGAAAATGATCGAAAACACACCTTTAAATTATGCTAACCTTTACAATAAATGCTGGTCTTCTTCTCCTGACCAGCGTCCAACAATGAATGAAATTTTAAATGAACTTGAGAAGCTATCAACAGAAACAAACATTGAGTTTATTATAAATGACCTTTCTACTAAAATTGAAGTAATGTAAGTACAAATTTATACCTAACTTTATGATAATTTATCTTTAATATAATATTTTAAAAAGATTAATTCATTATTTTGATTATAAAAGTCCTAGTAGAAGAAATTCTTCTGGTTCTATTACGACTTATACTAGTTCTGTATCGGGTGAAAAAGAATCATCACCATCTACAGAATATTTTATAAAAAAACGTATTGAATTAAAAAATGGAAATTTGATAATAGATTGCCCTGCTCCTTCAGATTTACTAAAAAATTTTCATAACATAAGCTCAAATGAATTCACAAGCATTCGTTATACTGCTTGTACAAGTAAACCTGATAAATTCAAGAAAGAAAATTTCACACTTCGTCAAATTGAATATGAACCTTCAAGAGAAACGGAACTATTTATTTTAATAACAATTAATGATGTAATTATGTACATTATTACTTAGTTTTAATAGTTATTTTTAATTAACTAAAAGTTATATTTAATATATCTGTAGGAAGATGAATTTCAATTATCTTGCACACTTGACGGAGTTATAGAAAATATTTCTTACCTATGCTCTCTCAGAGATTCTGAAATATGGGTATACATTACTTTTCATTATTATAATCATATAGGAACTCGCTATTAATATTAATAGTTTCACATATAAGGATGAAAATGGATGGAAGAAGATTGTTGTATGCATAATCTCTAATGGCCGCAGTAACATCAATGAACGGGCTTTAGCATACTTGTCTGCTCTTGGTGTCTATCAGAATGATATTGCAAAGTCCAAGTTGGATAATAAAGTCGTTAAAGCTCATATATATGTATTTACAACTCAGATTTCAATTCAATGTTCTAAGAAATCCACAGTTAAAAAAACAGTTGATGATGGAATTTTTCCAACTCAGATACTTTTTTGCCTTAAAGAAAAGGATAAAGATGATGCTGATTCTTTTCGATGGTTTTTTAATGCATTTTGTCCAATTCTAAATCCTAAAATATGTGTTCTTATGAAAGCCAGTGTTAAACCAGGTTAGAAAATAGGTTTATATCAATTTACTTTTATGTATTATTATTTTAATTAAGTTTTAATGTTTTTTTATACATAAAACTTCTAAAGGTGACAAGTCTATATATAACTTGTAGAAAACATTTTTAAAACCTCAAGTTGCGGGTGTCTGTGGTAAATTGGTTGCCATGAAAGATAGAAGCTTGATAAAATCATTAAATCCAATTGTAGGTTCCCAAATATTTAAACATGAAATATCAAATATTCTAGATAAACCATCTGAATCAATATTCGGCTATATTCAAACATTGCCTGAAGAATTTTCAGCCTACCGATATTTTTCACTTCAAGATATTGCAAATAATGTAGAAGACACTCCAATTCTTCCTATTTCTTATCTTAAATATAACTATCTTCTTTGTTTTGATTTAATTTCTAAATATAATCGATCTTGGATACTATATTTTGAAAGTTCTTCCCAAGCTGAAATCGATATCCCTTCAAATCTACCTGAATATATTCATCAGCAAAGATGTTGCTTGAATCAAATTTTCTTTGCTAGATTTTATGCAATTACTCATTTTTATTTTATATGGAGAAGTGGACACTCTCTTATTTGTAAAATCTGTTTACAAAATAAAATTATTTATCATGCTTATAATTTTCTTCTTTCATGGTTTGCACCGATATATATAAATACGTATTAATACGTATTGTAATTTATGATTAACCTTTATAATACTAATCTTTTATATTATTTAATTTCTTTTAGGGCATTTTCTCCATACTTTATTTTATGCCGTTCTTAACTATTTATTATAAACTTGGTATTTCTTCATTCTTTCCTAATATACCTGTTTATTAAGTTATTGTTTTATGATTTTTTTGCACTTAGTCTTTGCATTTTTTAATGTATTTCACAAGTAAGCATTTAATTACTTTATTGCAATTTATTTATGTTTATTTATATTTATATATCATATTATATTAACAGTACCAAATAGCGTGATATTATTCCATTAATAATATCTATTTATACTATTATTTGTATTTTTTATATGTATTTTAACCTTTTTTTTTTATCTAAAAATATTCCTAATATTTATTATATTATTTTTTATAGATTCGAATACAAACTTGATAAGATTGATCATGATTATTATATTTTTGAATATATTTATAAGTTTTATTATAATATTTTTTATACATTCGAATGTAGTTTTCTTTTGTTAATTTTTTTTTATTTTATATTCTTTATTATAGGATCAATAGTATCGAGATCATTAAATATTCTTACTTTTATTTTGCAATATATAAGTTTAATTTTATTTTATTTAAATGGTATAAATATTTATACATTTTTTAACATTACTGTATGGTAAAGTATATTTAATTTATTTTGATTTATTTAAATTATTAAAAAATTGGGTTACTAATATCATAAAAATTCTAATCTTTTTTATATTTTTTAGTTCAAAATTACTTATTCCAATCGAAATTGAAAGTGTTGTCACTTTTAAAGATGTTTTTGAAAAAAATATTGTTAATATTTTATTATCTAATGAATTTAAGAATAATGATTTATATTCTAAGGCTTGGAATATATTAAATCAGAGAGATACAAAAAAAGAAAGAAATATTAACAAACAATATTATTTCTTAAAACTATATCCACCATGGGTTATATTATTTTGGCTTTTTTCTAATATTTTATTTGCAGTAATAATTATTATGTCTTCAAATATTATTTGTTTAGAAATCATAATATTTGTTTTTTTATCTATTAGTGAAAAAATTACTTTTGGGCTATTTAAAAGCTTTATATATTATATTTTTAAACTATTTAATATTTAAACTATTAAAATATTTTAAAGTTAAATAGCAATTTAGAATATAGTTATTTTTTTATATGAATACAAATTTAATAAATAAAATAAAAATATTTTAGCAAAATTAATAAAACAAAGCTTTTTAAATTTTATATAATTTAATAATATAATAGAAGATGCTAACTACAATTCTAACCAACACTTGCTTCTTTCACAAGCCATAAGTAAAGCTTATAACTCTGGCAACTTTGAACTTTTTCAAAAATCTCTTTAAAGAGATAACAAAAATCAGGTAATTTTTTAGGGAAAGAGAGTGGTAAAAAAATTAAAATTATATATAAAGAACCTAATCAAATATATATTAGAAAGAGTGAAGGGGTAGTAAGTTTCTAATAAAAAAAATTAGATGATTAATGACACTGCCTTTATAGAATCTAAATGCTTCAACAACTAATTAATATACTGACTAATATTCTACTTGATCACACTATATTAGATCTTACTAATTTTTACTCTATAAAAATTGTATTGATTAAGATGAAGCTATTTATTTAAGTGTTGGGGTTGAAATAAATAAGCATAAAGCACTTATGCATTATCTAACATCTGTTGAGGCTGGTAATACTGTACTATGGGAATTTGGAAAATTGTCATTTATTACTATTACGGAATTGGTGTGGAAAAGAATGATGACAAATATTATAATTGGATTAAGAAGTATTTTAATACTTTAGGGAGTAAATATAATGATCAATT